TGAAGCGTGGTGGTCAATGTCTTAGAAAGACTGGGCAAATAAATGGTCATGATGTATATCTTTGGTCTTGTGAAAATAGTGCGTATCAATGGGAATATCCATTAAAGTATATCATGAAAAAATTTGAATGGTGTCCTCTTTGCCACCATAGAAGCGGTAAACGCCAATGCCGATATATTTTTGAGGATCTGTTAGAGAAGAAATTCCTATCATGTAGGCCGAATTTTTTGGATGGGATGCAACTTGATGGATATAATGAAGAGTTGCGACTAGAATTCGAATTTCATGGCAAGCAACACTATAGTCTTAATTCAAAGTTTCATAGAAGAAGCCAGATAGATTTGGATAAACAGAAAATGCGTGATCAGAAGAAGCGAGATATATGCAAGAAACAAGGTATATGCCTTATTGAAGTATCTCATACAGCGGATTTATATCCGTATATTAGACATACACTAATCGAGAAAGGGTTCTTATCAAAGCAATAAGTCACATGATTTGGGAAATAATGTTCGGACATTTTATAGTATATAGTAATTCAGTGACCCATCACAATGAGAAGAATGGAATATTATATTTATCATCTCGATGAGGTTAAAAGTATGAAGAACACCAATCACCCTGCAAGTCTTGCATTTCCTTTTCGTCTGTTAATCTGCGGTGGATCTGATAGTGGAAAGACCAATATGATCCTTAATCTTCTTCTTGGTAATAAAATCCAGCGATTACATAAGAAAAGAAAAGGGAAAGATATGTCAAGAATGATGATCTGGTCCTTATCGGGAAGCATATTCATGAACTGAAATGGGTATTTGTCAAGAACTGCTATAAGATATTTGCAAATGCTTCAGAAGCAACTCGGGAGAATGTTACATTTTGGGCCTTAAAGGCGAACGCTATTTCAGATGTAACTAAGTTTTCCTCAGACAGAAATACAGTTGTTGTCTTTGAGGACCTTTGCGCTGAATCAAAAAAGATTCAGGATCAGATTGTCTCATATTTCATTAGCGGGCGATATCAAGGAATATCGAGCATATATGTGAATCAGAAGTATATGCAAACTCCTAAAATAATCTATGAAAATATTACACATTTAGCCCTATGTCAAGGGAGTGGTAGTCAGGATGATATTAGCTGTATTGTACACTAATATACGGATGATTCGAAAAAGGCATCCAAGATTATTGACAAGCATCTGCGAGATCAGAATTTCGTAGTCTTTGATTTCACTAAGCCAATCGATAATCCTTTAGCGATTAGGCTGGGCTGGGATACGGCTTTAACATTTTGAAAAAAAAGTATTGCCAAATTTATATTGAATTATAAAATGTTTATTAGCGAGACCTGAAAATGATTAGTCAATAAGTTCTAGTGCACATAGTTCTTGTCGAATAATCTCCTCAGGATCTTTATCATCATACCATATGTAAAAGAGATATATGCCATTTTCTTCACATAATTTTTTCTTGAGTTGATCCTGTACTTGCTGTTTGATAAAATTATTGGGATTTCCTTTATGAAAGAATTCATGATATTTTTCGTGCTGTATACCTTGTACTTCAATTGCAAAGTTATGGTCATAGTAGGGGATATCAAGTTCTAATCCTATAGGGTGTTCTAAAGTTTTAAGAAAATCAGATCAACGTATTTTGGATGGTGGTCCAAGATATTTTGTTACAATTTTACAATATAGATTTTCACGTTGATATTTACTGCAATATGGACACCATGTATTTTTATTTTTAATACTATTAAGTGGTGCATTCCATTGATGTCCATTACAGCATTCCCATAAGAGCGGAGACATGATATTATTATATTTTTCTGAGAAACATTTACCTTCTTTATTAAAAGCCAGATCTCTTGCAATTTGGAGATCAAGTTTTAAAGAATTATCTTCACATACTGGACACCAACTACCACGCTGTATGCTATGTAAACTGGCTTTCCATTCATGACACTTTGCACAGCTCACAATAATGGTTGGTTGGTATCAATATATTTTTCCGAAAGGCAATTGCCATTCTTCTCACGTGCTAAACTTTTTGCAAATTCTATACTATGTTTCAATCCACGCTTTGCACAATAGGGACACCAAGTATTATTATTTTTTACATTATTTAATGATGCTTGCCATTCATGGCCTTTGGCGCATTTCCATTTTAGAGGAAATTTGTTATTAATATATTTTTCTGATAAACATATCCCTCCTTTACTAAGTGCGAAACCCCTAGCTGGTTCTAAATTTTGTGATATTTTGTGGCAATCAGGACACCATGTATCACGATTTTTTACATAATATAGTGATTTATGCCATTCATGACTTTTAGCGCATTTCCATAAAAGTGGAGAACTGGAATTAACATATTTTTCAGATAAACATTGCCCATTTTTACTATGAGCTATCTGCCTAGCTTCTTCGATAGTATAAGGTGCATTTCCTGCACAATATGGACACCAATTTTTACCGATTTTGATATGAGAAAATCTTGCTTGCCACTCATGACCTTTCGCACATTTCCATTTCATGAGTGATTGGTAATTAATATACTCTTCTAAGAGGCATATTCCTCCTCTTTCCATAGCTACTGCATTCACGTCTTTTAATGTATATTTGATTCCCATTTCGAACAATAATACTTACGGCTTTTGTAATTCTAATTCTAATTAATAGGATGTAGTTTACTGCCTTATGCGAGAAAAGTAATCATGACCAGATTACTGCGGGAAGATCTGTTAGATACAGTATATTATTAACTCCAATCAAGAAATATTTTTATATCCCACCCACACGAAAAAAAATGAATATATATGCCACCAGGGTCACTTTATTGATACAGAAAAATACATTATATATATATTATAGGATAAAGTATAAAAATTATAGGTTATATTTAAAAAGCGTAAAGTAATAAAATTTCTGAAAAAAGATATAAATGTCAACACTTAGTGATATCATCTTGACAACTTATGATCAAAATGAAGCGCGTTTTGTTTCTTCAAAGTACAAATGCTCAACCCCAATTTCGGTAAAATCATTTATACACAATTGATTTTTTGTAAATAGTTTCTTATGGTTGCAGACCAGCAATTGCGACCCTGACGGGTTTTGGCGAAAGGGTAGGCATTCTAACATAGGAAGAACGTGATGGTGAACTAGGCGGGCTGTTAGAGGCAATTACCGTTAAAAGTTCAGAAATGCGATGCTTAAAATCACAAAAAAAGGTTGTTAAATGGTTGGTGCCGATTTTTGCATCAAATGTAGTAAACAGCTACAATCTTAACCACTTACTTTAACATTATAAAATGCTTCCAAAACTGGCACCAAGCCTACAATTTTTTCCCGTTCGATTGGGACACATACATCTGCAACTAAGATCATCCTGTATATTCCGTCATTATTAAGGTCCATCTCGTAGATGCGAATATGCTCACCTTTGAATGCAGTCAAATGTTAATAAATACACCAAAAAGTCAATCCAAATTGTGCATACTTACCACATACCCATATACCGAAAGAAATCATCCCGATTCTATTTCCGTATTTTTTTATTAGCTCATCCAAGGTACCCGCCTGATACTCAGCAAGTTTGACTAGATCTTTTTTGACCAATACAGAAGAAGTGTCCCTTGGTTTAACTTCCCCGAAGAGAATTTCATCTTTAGTATTGGTCGAAATTTTGAAATCGGGTTTATTACCTTTAACAGTACCATTTTCCTTATTGCTAAGACGTCGACTTTTTGAAGCGGAGCTCTCGCTATTTGCCCTTTTAACACAAGTATACAAAGGATACTCAATAAAAATGAAGATTATATCCACGCAATGATTACAAACTAATCATACTAATTCTAACATCGGGTCACGAAAAATCTCACTGATCAAGTTATGTAAAGTGTTGTGAACGAAGGTATCTTCGTTATCTTTATTAATAGAGCCTAATAAAAAGCTGTAAAAGATATTAGCATCGAATTGGTTATGAACGACAAATGTAACACTGACAAGTTTCGTAATATGATTTGGCATTTGCAAAAAATAGCTCTATCCCCTTTATCCAGTTCTGTGACTCTGGAGAAATTTTCGCACCATTTGTCTTCCATTTCTTCCAATGGCGTAAAAGAATTTAACAACTAGAATAGACATTGTTTAGTCCTGTAGTGTTATTTAACACCTAATCTGTAAATCAGAAAAAATCTTACCAATGAATATTCCAGAACTACATTGTTAACTGTCGATGACAAATAAGAAGACGTTTTCCTTCGACAAATAGTATTCCAACTCGCAAGATCGCAAGATAAGTATGTCGGTTTTATCCGCTCAATCAACATTATATTAGATAAACATCTATTTTATCACGAGAATAATGAATATAATAAAAAAATCACAAATCCACGAATTCAATACTTACAGAATTTTTTGAATATCTTCTTTGTAGCACAAATACGGGTTTTCCTTGACCTGTTGAATCGTCATCTTTTGAAAATCACGGAACTCATTGGAAAGATTGTAATTTTCAAAAATCCACTGAAAAAGACATGTATAGTTAGTTAATGTACAGTAGATACAACCACGCTATTTACTCACATCCTTCTTTGAAATATTTCTAAAATCAATCTTGTCGATGACATCTCCCCACGAATAAATAATTTTTGTTCGTTTCCTAGCATCGTAACATTCTATATATATAAATATATGTGTAAGTTAGATCCTCTCAGAAATGTTGCAAATACTAAGACTTTCTTCACGATTAAATTTAGAAGACGGATCACCTTGATTTATTTTCGAATTTCCAGACTTTAATATCGAACTATCATTTGACTCCATGAGACGGGGTTCTTTCGAGATATTATTATCAGAACTTTGCTGAGAAAAATTATTGATTTTATCATTCAAATTCGTTAACGAAAAGTAATATCGGAATAAAGTTGCCATCATTATAGATTGCGAGGCATCCATTAAAACACAACTACCTGATTTTCTTGTTCATCCTGTTCGCGTTGAGGAGTGGCATCGTTAATTTTTACCCTTTTTGGGACTTTATCATTGTTCTAAGGGTTAAATTGTAATTCATTAAGAACAAACGCAAATTAATAGTTCTAATTAAAAGCTATGCATCTTTACCTCTTTCTGATTACTCCTCTTTGGTGCAAGCTTTACATCGAACACTCCTCCACTCATAGGCCCATATACACCATTTGTTATTCCTCCCACTGTCCCGTTTATAGTTGAACGATGGATATTAATCTGCGTATTCGAACGCGTCTTCTCCCATTCTTTTGCTCTTTTTTTATCAGGACGATTACTCTAAAACGATAATTTTAGGAATTAGTGGTATTCTTAACTATCGTGTTTTCATTCCGTTTAATACTTTCATATCTTGACATCAGACAAGCTCGAAGGTCATCTGTGTCTGACTATGCCAGTAGGCTCAAGACTTTTAACTTGAGGCTTTTAAACATCAGGCAAGCTCGAAGGTCACCTGCGCCCCAGCATAGTCTTTGTGGCTCGGCTCGAAGACTTGAATGATAAGGGAGCTCGAAGGTCCCCTACCACGCCACTTACTCTTAAAAAACCTTTGATATAAAATTCTAATACTTGCCTGACTGTAAGCGTCGAGGAGCACCTGCGCTTTTTCACGCCTTTGACCATTCTCAGTATTGACTATCAACTCGAGAGATGATAAGTAGCATTCTATTTTCTGTCTATAAGACCCTATACTTGTACATTCCTCGAGGAATCTAACAATATCCCAATCTGACACCTTTCGTTCGAAATACTCGTGTATCTATTTTGGGGGATGAACAAAAGGTTAAAGTCTAGATCGCAAAAAAAAGCAGTTCATCTGCATTAACCTTCATACCGTTTCAGATGCAGACATGGTTGAGTTGTTTGAGTTTTAGAGTACGTTGCGAGATGTTGTCATACTGTATAAATGAAAACACGTTCGATACGCGTCCGGTTGGATCAACATGTGACTTTTTGATAATTTCTGATTGGCGGTGATCTTATCAATTAAAGCACCCAATAGAATATGCTCTTTGGTTACTTTGTTGTGCCCCAACTTGGAACTTGCCCCAAGTTGACGATCGGCCTAGGTTTTATAGCGCCTTAAGACAGTATCCAGAAATACTTTCCTTATATAGTAATTATTCTGAATTGGGGCAAATGTTGAGTTGGGGCATAACAACTTTACCGATATAAACTACGTAACTGAGTAGAATTTCTTAAATCTAAGGATGAAATGTATATTTTTTTCTGGTTTCTAGATCATGTTCAGATTCACTATGCTTCTTCACCCATAATTTCCTTTCATGAGTGCTAGAATATATTTCCAGTTCTATAGTCACATCACTATGCTCCATTTTAGAAAGGATC